GCTTGGCCTTTAAAAAGCTTCATAAGCACTACATTAAATAAGATGTTTCTACATTTTATTTTATGATTTAAGGAAAACACCCTTGTGTGGGAAATGCAGGTGAGGCTGCAAAAGCTCAGAACCCCCAGGCATCCGAGCACAGTGAGGGCAGGAGGGGAGGTGGGGACATTCCTGGGCTGCCTGCAGGACAAGGCCGGCCAAGCAAGGCCACCCGGTAGGGCCCCACCCTAAGCTGCCCTTCAGAGGAGCCCCAAGCCTCCCACGAAGAACCAGTCACAGGGTGGGACAGTCACAGGAACTGCGGCCTCAGCACCGGCCAGGGGACAGACTTCAGGAGCAGCAGTGGGAGGGGCCCATGACGGTCCTTGTTCCTGGAGGTTTGGGGACTCCCTTAGGGCCAACCCATTGTTTCTGTCTTTTCCCCTTGGAAACCTGGTTCTGCTAGATTATCAAGGATGACGGGGAGAAGCACGAATGTCGTCTGCAGACAACCTTGGTCAGGCCCCATGGCATTCGTTCCAGGAGGGCCGGGGAGCCAGCCTGACAGTCAGCAATGCTTAGCAGTGGCCCTCGGCTAAACACCAAGGGCATTGCTCCACGTTCTTCCTTCCACCGAACATGGGTCAGAAGCACAGTTCCGCCAGCTCCCCACCAGTTCACAAGGGGGGCTGCTGTCCTCCAGTTCCAGCCCCTGCTCTGGTCTCCAACTGAGAACACGATCAGAATGGCCTCAGCAAGCAATGTACTTAAAGTCCTTTTGGAATAACACGACCTCCAGGAGGACAGAGGCCATCCCTGCAGCTCTGCGGTTTGTCTCCGAGTCCCACCAGTATCACCTCCAAAGGCCTGTCCATGGCAACATGGGCTCTGGGTGACACGCCCCTCACTCCCTTCCCTTGCATTCCCAGTTCCCGATCCCTAAGTGGCATCCACAGAGTCACGACAATTCTGGCATCTGCTACTGAGAAAATCCGCCACAGAGTGTGTGTTACTGGGTATGAGTGATGTGGGGTCTTCGAGCTCTGTGGTTTCTACCTGCAGCTCTTCCCTGAGGGGACCTTCAGCCAGACGCTCCTAAAGGGGACTAGAGGCCCCAGGGCCCCTAAGCATCTCGACTCACTGTGAGTGTGGACGGTGTCAGTGCCTCTGGCAGCTGCAGGGAAGGGGCTCCCTGAGGTGGCATGAAATCCCTCCTGGGTCCCCCTGTGGGGTATGTGGGGTTAATAAGGCCCCCTCACGATTACAGGGGATGATGGAGAAGCATGTGTGGCCCAAGAAAGAAAATGTGAAGGAGGACACAACCCCTTAGCACTGGACTAGATATGTGGAGGGAAATGCTGTGGGTGTCCAGACAGGACCCTCCCTGCATGGTGGGGGCTGGGGTGCAGGGGGTCTCAGCCCCAGGACCAGATGAACAACAGCAGAAGAGGACTTTCCCCAAGGAAAGGTGAATTTTATTGCAGGAGAAAAATCTAAAATAATGGATGGACAAGGAACGCTGAAGTGTGTGTAAATACCCGATTATGGCAGGAGGATTCGCCAACCCAGAGAGCAAGAAAATCTCATTGAAGAGGGCATTGCTGGGCCTTCAGGATGCCTGAATGGGAAGAGCCGGAGGAGAGGGGGCTTGTTAAATTAATAGTGCAGCATATTCAGGACAATGATCCAAGGAGTCAGGCACTCCAATATGAGCCCAGCACAGGCTGAGGGGGCCCCTCGCTGCTCAAGGTGGGCTCACAGGGAGCAGCAGGTCCCCTGGGGGGTTTGTCCCACAGTGGGAGGAGCTATGTCTGCCCTGACTTCAGGGATGTGACAGGGGACATGAATCCTCAAACAAGAACTGGGACCTGTGTGCTCCTCACACCCCTGAATGTGCTCAGTGCCCACTACCAGCTCATTCTCAGGTTAGAGGAGGTCTTCACTGTGAATAACTCTGCCTCATGAATATGCAAATTAGATGAGGTGCACTAGATAGAATATGGGCATGTCTGTGCCCTGAGAGCATCACCCCAGCATCGCACCCTCCCTGGGGAGACCCTGAGAGCACCGCCCCTCACCATGGACTGGAGCTGGAGAGTCCTCTTCCTCCTGGCAGTGGATGCAGGTGAGGGGCTTCCTGTCCCTGGGATGACGAGGGGCAGGGCCAGTCAGGGGCATGTCATCCCCTCCCATGTCCTCCCACAGGGGTCCACTCCCAGGTCCAGCTGGTGCAGTCTGGTGCTGTGCTAAAGAAGCCAGGTGCATCCGTGAAGGTCCCCTGCAAGGCACCCAGAGACACCTTCACCAGCTACTGTATAAGCCAGGTGTGACAGGCCCCTAGACAAGAGCTTGAGTGGATACGATGGACTGGGAAGCATTCTACAGAGTATCATCCTGGTATACGGCCTGACATGCAAACCAGAGGAATGGGATCAACCGTGCAGAAATAAGTCCATACTTCCCTTGCCAGTTAATCTTGTCAAGGTTGCTGGCAACATGAAATGGGGTATCCCCTGCGAATGGCGGTGGGAAAACTAGATTTCCACGAGGAAACAGTGAAACTGTACCAACCTCACTACATACACAAAGACCACCTAAAGTGCTTTGAGGAGCTGAATGTAAAACCGAACATCCTGGGACCCCCGCAGGGGAGCCTGAGAGCAGCTCTTCAGGACCCTGGATGTGTCACGTGGTCCTTCTTATGACACCGAGAGCTGCAAAGAAAGAAGAGCTACTTGGCATTCGTCAAACCCAAGGACATTTGTCGTTAAAGGACATTAGGAGGAATGTGAAAAGACACTCAACAGAATGAAGTAAAAGATCTGCAAACCTGACAAGAGTCCAGTGTCCAGAATATGCAAAGAGCACTTACTACCAAATCAAAGAATGGTAAGACACCCACATTTAAACAGGGGGGCAGCAAAGGACTTGAATGAATCTTGCTCCAAAGAAGATAGACAGTGGCCCACATGCACATGAAAATATGCTCCACAGCATCAGATCTTAGGGAAAAAGAAACTGAAAAACCAGTATGTACCACTTCCAGGCAACTAGATGGCTATGATAAACAGAAGGGAAGTAAGCGTGTGGGGAAGCGGGAGCCCTCACATTACTGGGGTGCAGATGTGAAAGATGCTGGGCACTGTGGAGAACAGACAGAAGGTACTCGAACTGTTACCGACGGGATGAGCACACCACCAGCGCTTCTGCCGTGACATGTACACGGAAAAGGATGCAAACTGGGACCCAAACAGACATGAATAAATGCACATCCACTGCAGCAGTATTCACAACAACCAGAGGGGTGGAAATGGCCCGGATATTAAGCTGTGGATGAATAAATGGTGCAATATCCTTACTGTGGAATATTATTCAGGCAACTAAGGAATGATTTACAGACACAAACTACAAGGCGGATGAAATCTGAAACCTTGATGGGGACAAACACAAAATGCCCAGAGGATATGATTCCACTCGTGTGAAATACACAGGGCAGGCTAGTCCACAGGGACAGAAATCAGGCTGTGCTGCCAGGGATGGAGGTGAGAGGGACAGGAGGAAGGGGCTTGTGGGATGATTTCCTTTTGGGGAGTTGGGAAGCTTTGGGGCCTGGACAAGGGAGATGGTTGCACAAGGTTTATAATGACTTAATGCAGCTCAAGTGTTCAGTTTAAAAAAAGTTAATTTGATGGTAACTGAAGTTCACATCCATTTCAAAAAGAGACTCCTGCGTGTCTGCTTAGCTCCCCTACACGTCTCAGTCACACATTCTGCCAGTGAAGGCTGTCCACTACATGTGTGGAGCACAGAATGCTCACCGCTCACCTGTGAAAGGACAGCTTGCTTGCCTCCTGTTTCAGCCCTTATGAAGGGAGCAACGGCAATCATTCCTGTGTAGTTTGTGTGGACAGAAGTTCTCATGAGCAGTCGGTAAATACCCAGGACCGTGACTTGTGGATTGTAAGATAAAACTATGCTTAGCTTTGTAGAAAACTGTCTTACTGAGCTCCAGAGTGACTGTGTAGATTCTCATTCCCACCAACATGGTGAACCTGTCAGCAGTTCTGTATGCATGTCAACACTTGGTATTGTGAGGCCTTTGATTTTAGCCATTGTGTTAGGCCAGTAGCAGCAGGAGTTGAGGGTGGGGGAGGAGGGGACTGGGTTTGCTCTGGTCCCGATGTTCTCAGAGGTGCAGACACTATACCTGGGCCTGCCCCTCAGTAGGGCTGCAGACACAGACCCTCACTCTCCTGAAAGTCCAGTGCATTATGACCCTCTCTGGAGGGGGATGGGTGCACACAGAGGCCCAGGGCTTGGTACAAGGACAGGGCTCCAGATTCCCATGTACAAAATCTTCTCCTTCCTGCACACAACAGAGTGAGTCCAGGTGGCCCTTCTCCCCAACACCCCATCAATTTTCATAGGCAATTTCAATCCTGGTCCCAGGATTACAGTGTCCCCACTGTCTGCTGTCCCACCAGAGGGCCAGTGTAAGAGCCTGTGGAAACTGAGGCACAGCGCTGGTGTAATGGGACTCATGGTTGCTGTCCTTGCCCCTAGTGTCCTATCTTAAATACAGTGAAGGATGGGATGTGTTACTCAGCACGACTGTGGGGATGACCTCTGGCCCCTCCAGGTTCCTACTGGTCCCCCAGCACAGGATGCAGTTTGATGACTCCCTGAAGGTCAGACATTCTTCTCTCTAGTGGACAGGCAGGCGGGTCTGCATGCTTTTCTGCAGGGGCTGCTCATCCTCTTTCTCAGGCTGAACCACCAGGGAGAGCAGTTTTTGTGGTTTGTCCCCATCCTAGAGGAAAGGTGTTCAGGAGGACGGGGAGCCTTTGTATGGCCCAAGAGTATTTCCATGATAACACCTTCACCCCACTTAGTGTCCAGCCATCATGCACATTCCAGCCTTACCTATAATAACCTTTATGCCACTCAGGACCCTCTGCCAGATAAGGTCGCTTACTGCCCAAATGGATATTATCTGAAAGACAAAAAGTAACAAGCATTAGCAAGGATGTGGATTAAAGGGAACCCTCACACACTGTTGGTGGGAATGTACATGTGCACAGGGACTATGGAAAACAGCACAGGCATTCCTCAAAAAGGTAGAAATACAAATACCATAAGACTAGTAATTAATTTTTTTATTTTTTTATTTTGGTATAATTAATGCACAATTACATGAATAACATTATGGTTACTAGACTCCCCCATTATTAAGTCCCTACCACATACCCCATTATAGTCGCTGTTCATAAGCGGAGTAAGATGTTATAGAGTCACTACTTGTCTTATCTGTATATGCTGCCTTTCCCGTGTTCCCCCCACATTATGTGTACTTATCGTAATGCCCATTTTTCCCCTTATCTCTCTCTTCCCACTCATTCTCCGTGGTCCCTTTCCCTTTGGTAACTGTCAGTCCATTCTCGGGTTCTGTGATTCTGGTGCTGTTTCATTCCTTCAGTTTTTGTTTTGTTCTTATACTCCACAGATGAGTGAAATCATTTGGGACTTGTCTTTCTCTGCCTGGCTGATTTCACTGAGCATAATACCCTCTAGCTCCATCTATGCTGTTGCAAATGGTAGGATTTCTTTACTTCTTATGGCTGAATAATATTCCATTGTGTATATGTACCACATATTCTATATCCATTCATCTACTGATGGACACTTAGGTTGCTTCCATTTCTGGGGTATTGTAAATAGTGCTGCAATAAAATAGAGGTGCAGATGTCTTTTTCAAACTGGGCTGCTGCATTCTTGGGGTAATTTCCTAGGACTGCGTCAAATGCTATTTCTATTTTGAGATTTTTGAGGAACCTCCATACTGCTTTCCACAATGGTTGAACTAATTTACATTCCCACCAGCAGGGTAGGGGGGTTGCCCTTTCTCAGCATCCTCGCCAGCACTTGTCGTTGTGTTTTTTGGATGCTGGCCATCCTTACTGGCGTGAGGTGATTAAAACCTCATTGTGGTTTTAATTTGCATTTCTGTAATGATTAGCAATGCGGAGCATCTTTTCATGTGCCTTTTGGCCATCTGAATTTATTTTTTAGAGAAGTGTCTGTTCAGATTCTCCGCCCATTTTTTAATTTGATTATTAACTTTTTGTTGAGATGCGTGAGCTCTTTGTATATTTTGGATGTCAACCCCTTATGGGATCTGTCATTTATGAATATATTCTCCCGTACTGTAGGATGCCTTTCTGTCCTATTGACAATAGGACCAGTAATTTCACTCCTGAGAATTTGGTGGAAGGAAACAAATTCCCTAACTCATGCCGCCCTATGTTCACTGAAGCATCATTTACAACAGCCGAGATACAGAAGCCACCCACACATCCACCAGCAGGTGCACTGATGAAGAAGATATGACACATGTACACAAGGGAATGTTATCTGTGATAAGGAAAGTATTCAACACAGCCGTCAAGGTCAGCAAACCGCTTTTTTCCTCCAGTTGGCAAAGCCCCCCAGCTCCCTCCTCCCCTTCCCTGGGCTCCCCTATTGCCCTGCACATGCCGAAATGCCACGTATCAAAATAATATAAATTGCTCCCGTTGCTTGTGCCCAGGGCTCAGACCTTGGGCGATGACTCCCCTCGGGGCCCCGTCAGTGTGAAATAAGCCTCAAACTCCAAGACCTCCGAGTGCCGCTTGGTTCTTCCATCAGCGACCCAGTCCAGGTTTTCCAGTATTTTCCGTAACATTTGGTTCCCGGACCGGAACCCGAACTGCCTTGGGCCTTTGTTGCCACCGGTTTGGGGCAACAGTGTGCGGTGATGGAACAGGAGATCGCATGGGAGAAGGCACGCCCCACCTGACCCCTCGGCAGGCTCCCGCCCCATCGCCCTGGGCTGGCCCCGCTCCGCTGTTCCCGTAGGACTCAAGGAGGCTTGGCAGGGGAGGACCTGGTTCCGACGTCAAATCCGGTAAAGACCCCAGGCCCCTGACCCAGCCACTCCCACCCATTGGGGTGGAAAGGGAGCCTGATCACCTGCCAGAGACTTCTTAGAAGTCTCACAGGTAGACATTCCCAGGTGGGGAATGTTTAAACTCTGGGGTGTGTGTGTGTGTGTGTGTGCGTGCAGGGCGCTTGATGCCATTCAGTCTGCACTGAATCTGTGCTTCCATGAGCTATGTAATCTGCATGGGCCCTCATCCGCATTCACATAGGCCGTCAGGGCATATCGGTGAATCAGCTTCGGCTGACCTGGCACGGGACTTACATGGGTGCACCTTAGTCAAGGCTGGTCAAAGTCTCAGAGGAGCGTGAACGGACGGGCAGCTGACTTGTCTCCTCTCTAGAGGAGGCACCC